AAGCGTTGTACAAATCGGCCAAGTACAAATGCCAAATACATAGCCCAAAGCATAAATATGATGCACTAGTTCTAAATGAGGAGGAAGATGTACGTCCTACGTCAATCACTTTATGGGTGACAAACCAGCTTTAACAAGAGTGTGACTCCAGTTTCTTTGATGAGTTTAAGAAATTTCATTCGTATCTCCATCGTAACCGTAGGGATATGATTGGGACTTCATTTTGTCGTCACACGTGGAAGACATCGTAGGAAACAGTGATGATTACAAGGAGTATGAGTACGTAAAAGTGACTCAAACAAGCCACTAAAAGGATCCTTAGGGTCAAGTTTGACTTCTTATAAATTTACGACTCGTTGTTATGTACATTATGCGCACTATTTTAAGTATATCGTAATGTCAAGCTTTTTAAGTGACTTAAGTGTTATTGTCATAAATGTTCATTAGCTGTCACAAATATTCATATACATTCAATATATGTCACAGTTTGTGTAGCACAATTTCCAACACTGTTGTGGCACTGAAACTTTCTAAAACAACCGTGCCCACATAAAAATATTAGTTCATCCCCCATCCAATTACACTTCAATGTCTTCACAACTACAACACAATGTATCACAACCCATCACAAGTTTTGCACCTATATATCTAAATTCCAAATTCACTATTTCAACCAGGTCTAGTCCAAACCACCCGCCATTATGGATTCAAATCCCTAATTTATAAAAACCCAATGAAATCGAGCCCTTCACCAGCTCACAAACTCCCTTTCTGCCTCTCTTTCACCCCGACTACAACCCTCACCCATCTTTCTCTTTGATAAAAACACACCTGGTGAAAAAAAAAATTTAAAGGTATAGGATTTTACCGGGTTCCAATCAATCAACCTGAAATCGAACCCTTCCAACCTCACCAGCTCCGTCTCTCATCGACAAACACCTCAAGCAAACAAAAAAAAAATAAAGATATAAGATTACTCTCCCAAACTGGAATCGATCGCAGTCGCAACGCAGCTTTAGCCCAACTGGAATTGATCCTCACCCTAGCTCCATGTCTCTGCCTCTCTTTCTTTCCCTCTACAATGCGCAAACATATCCCTCAGCTCCCTTCAACTTTTTCTCTGATAAACACATACCCACCAAATAAAAAAATAAATATTTAATTACACTGGATCACAACAACTTGGTTCTACCCGTGAGCTCAGCAACATCACCATTCGATTACAGTACGCACACAAGGTGTGTTTTTGCGGTCCGCACCTTACAATATGGGTAACATTATTTGTATAGGTGAATTAGTAGGCAAGTTTTAATATATATATATATATATATATATATATATATATATATATATATATATATATATATATATGAGAGAGAGAGAGAGAGAGAGAGAGAGAATAATATAACATGAAAAAATGTAGTATAAAAAATAAATAAGGAATACAAAGAACAAGAGAGAATATAGAGATTGGGAGGAGAAATATGAGTGTATCATTTGATTATCATTAGACCCCTTTATATAGGGTAAGAGTAACTTGAAAGAGAAGCCCAAGTGCCTCTAATTACATCAATGATTAATAAGAGATTAACTACACAATTGGTTACGAATGTGGATAGCCACATAGGCATAAATATATACAACACTTTCCTTTGGATATCCGTGCATTAATAAATTTATGTTCACCATTGATGATAGTTGTTCTAATAAAAACCTTGCTTAGAAAACCCAATGGGACAAAACCAAAGCGAAGGAGAAAAATCAAGTACAACTTTGAAACCACTGATAAGGTGTTGGACGCGCATATTGCTGCTTCGCTAAAACCTTGCCAGGAAAAACCCAATGGGATAAAAACCTGGTCGGAGGGCAAAGAACACAGCACGCTTGTATGTCCATAATTGCAACATTATAGTTCAATTCGAAATAAAAAAAGTACTCATTGAGGCAATATATACCAAATTTAGCTAGAAAAGGTATTGAGTGCATATTTTGAGTTTTATGCTCTTCATTTGAAATCTTTGATAAAGAGTTTCATGACATTCTCTATTCTTTATAAAAGTGGTTCAATGGAGAGACCAAAACTTAAAAATCTTAAGTAGTATGCAGTCTCCACATGCTATGAGTCTCACATTAAAATAACATTGTACTTGTAGAAATGTGGTTGCATAAATGGTGACAAAAAAATACTCATGTCTCTACTATGGAGCACCATACCGTAATTAGTGAGCTTGTTTCATTACAAACACACAAGAATAACGTTTAGGGGTATAAATTATAGGTTCCCTTATTTCACGTTTTTTAATGGCTCTCAAAATGGATTTTACCTCTTTCCAATTTGGCCAACCATTTTACAATATGTCGACAATTTGTGATTGAATAGCCCTTGATGGGAAAACGGTTTGGATAGCCCTTGATGATGTGAGTAACTACTATAATCTTTAATTTGTGATCTAACGATTCTCCCATTCCGATGGGCATGCGTGATTTTATAAGTATTTCATTGCTTGGGTACAATGCCTCTTTAGGGCTTCTATTGTCACATTTAGGACAAACATCTTAAGGTGAATTACTTATAGATTTGGATGATAACCTCCTATGGAGCGTTATTTTCAATTAGGGTTTGAACTTTATTAATCTTTACTTACGAGGAATTCAAAGTTTAGAACCTATATATGTGTCATGCTTTAGGCATGCAACAAATTAATCAATGTCACTTATGACTTTATATAGTTTGGATGAGACAAATGCAGATGTATCAACACTAATTCTCGATGTTCTTTGAAAACTATCATTTCTCCCCCGAACGTCGGGAATATTGTCTCACCAAAGTGACGGTCCACAAAACTGTGGTAACTATGAGCAAAACTTAAAACAAATTGACTTGAATCCCAATTTTAAATGCTTAAAACCATCTTTGTGTACACAATTACTTGTTGGTTGGAAAATAAAAATCAACCGAAATGATCATGATGATGCATGTGATCAAAATGCATCTCCCAAGCAAAAATTTGTAATGAACAAAACACATAAAGCTTGTGGTAAGCCATGAGAGTTATGTGCTCAAAATTAGTCCCAAATGGCATGAAATGGCCTACCAAATTTGGGAATTTCACTTGTAATTGCGAGTAAATAATATAATGACCATAGATACATCTAAGTCATTGGTCAAATAATCCACAATAAGATGTTGAATAAGCTCACAAATACACTTATAAATTCTTGAGAAAAAATACAGGATCCAAAGTAAATTTTAGATAGTCTGATGACCAAGTTTCCGTGTGAGCAATTCTTGGAAGGACATGCACAATGCACTATGTTAAGGCATAGAAATATATCAAAGATAATTATACATCTCATTGTGGATGGAGAATGGCCAAGATAATTATCCCATGATTGGGTCACTGAACTTCTAGTTCATGAAAAGCATACACTACTTCAATGATTGTGTAATACAATTCATAAAAGAAAAAAGTAGGAGTTTCCGTTGAAAAAATGAATGGAACGATATACAATTTGATATGATAATAAATTGAATAAATGAATTCATAGTAACATAAAAAATAATTGAAATAAACAAAATCAAAATTAAAATAATAAAAGTGCCAAAAAATAAATAAAATAAAGAGCCAAGCTATATATGGGAGATAACTCAATTGCTAATTGCTTGTAAGCTCAAGGATGGAGAATAAACTCAACCCCTACGAATGGAATAAAATGATTTTCCATGTGTATTGAGAAGTCTTATATCTCAGAGTGGGCTATGTCCACTAAGTTCAAATTCATGGGAGAATTGTAAAAATTTTCTCAATCATTTTTCTTATTTTAATCAAGACTTGGTAAAAATACACCAAATGTTTTAGCGCATGGCAGGGTCGTGCTCGATGCCAATTTGAATATAATAAGTACCACAGAAAAAAAAATTGTATAGTTTAGTTACACAATTAAAACTCGAGGAAATTTAGGCCTTCAATTACTTAGAATCAAAGAACTTTAGGTTCCGATTCAGTCCAATAATTTGTAATTTAAGATGTGCTATTTCATACCTAGTCCTTAGAAAAATTTATCTCATAGTGTCAAGAAAAAAAACTCAAGGCGAAGTGTTTACATCCACCGAGTCCGACGTATTAATTTACTCATTTGGAGTATGAATACAGTGAGCTATATGCTCCATTATAATTGCTTGAATATGAACTTTGAATTCATGATATATGGGGCTACATGCCTCCCACTCATATTGGATGAGAACGAAAGACCAACAGATGAATGTCTCGTAACATGATGAGAGTTTGAAAAGCTATATGCCATGATTTCATTAAAACTCATTATCCCAAAGAACTCAAATAGATTGAGGATCAACACTTCGTTGGCTCTTTGATCTCATACAACTCACATAAGTCAGTTAGTACTACGATATAGTGATATTTCTCTTCATTTGTAAGTGAGGTTTTAGATTCAAATCTCGCCAAATATTATTGTTGACCCGTTGTAAGGCTAAGCCCATCTCTTTTCCCTTCGTTTGCTCAAAAAAATAAAAATAAACTCACATAAATAATAAATGAGTGAGTGATTAAATGGAAACTAATAACTCTGAACAAATATGAATCATCTTCCATTTAAGATTACATAAATTGGCAATCATGAGTTCCAATATTAATAGGTATTACTAATAAAGGAAAGCATATTAAAAGTTTGTATCCATCTCATTAATATCCAAAAAATATGTAACTTTAAACGTGTATGGAAGTGGCCTTCGATATGGAATATAAGAGGGCATAACATGTTTATGTCATGTATTAATTCAAAATAATTCAACGCTCGATTAATATTTGTCAAAAAGGAACGAACAAATTTGAGCATGGTAGAGTCTAATGGTTGAGTATAAGAAACTCTAAACTACATGATGACTCTAGCTCAAAAGAAACATAAAAAGAGCATGCTGATAACGTGTTAAAAAATGAAGTATAAGAAATACAATGGACAAGAGAGAGAGAACATAGAGATTGGGAGGAGAAATACGAGTGCATCCTTATATTATCGTGATTCATGAGACCCCTTTATATAGGGTAAGAGTAACTTGGAAGAGAAGCCCAAGTGCCTCTAATTACATAAATGATCAATAAGAGATTAACTACATAATTGGTTACTAATGCGGACGGCCACATAGACATAAATATTTACAACATGTAGTTTTATTTTGAATTGGAAATACAGATATGCTTAATTCAGGGTTTAACCGAGCTAAACTACCAAAAACAATACTACATGCAGACGGTGTAAGAGGAAACGAGTACAAAATTACTAATTACCTCAACGTTCACCAAATAACTTAATAGCATCCTGATTATATACAGAATCTTCTCCTTGGTTAAATCTCCTTTGTAGTCTTTCATGCTGTTGCCTACGAGTAACCTCAACATTCTGCCATTCTTCCCAGCGCTCGGCCAGACCATCCCCTTGTAGCATCCGTACCACCTCCGACATTAATGGGCGGTCTTCAGGGGATCCTTGCGTACAAAGAAGCGCAACTTTGATCATCATTTCTACCTCTTGGACGTTGAAACTATCATTCAAATTTCTGTCTACAATAGCATCCAGTCTCTTTTCCCTTTCCAGCTTTTTGACCTTCATGAGCAGATAGGCAAAGAAGGTTAGCACAGTGAACACAAACTCAGGCAAAATTATGCACTCAGTGGAAGTAAAAAACAAACACCGCATTTTCTTCCTTAAGCGTGATCTCAATTTGTTTTGAGCATACGTTAGGCACAAAATTCCATACCATACCTACATATAATCGGAAACTGTTTTTGACCATACAACTACAAATCATTTGTGAGCATGCAGAGCTCCCAATATCAAAGAAGCAATTGTTACGAGTAAAAATTAAAAATCATGCCATTTCTTTGAGTTATCTTAACATGCACGAAAACAAGTTTATCTTTCATGGTCAAGCAACAAAAAAAGTTAGATAAATGCACACTAGGAGGAGGTAGGGAGAGGGGGACTTGGGAAGAGAAAGAAAGACCCAAATACAGAGTTTATCTTACATGGTCAAGCAAAAAAAGATCATCATCTTCGTCAAAGCGTGAAAAATCAACCGTCCGTTGTCCTGTTACAAGTTCTAAAAGCATAATCCCATAGCCAAAAACATCCGTCTTTTCTGATGACTTCCCAGTGGACAAATATTCAGGTGCTATGTGACCCAATGTGCCACGAACTTCAGTTGTCACATTAGTCTTTCTAACATCCACCAACTTTGCCAAGCCAAAGTCGCCAACAACTGCTTCAAAATCTTCATCAAGTAATACATTAGCAGCCTTAACATCTCGATGAATAATCTTAGGATTACAATGTTCGTGCAGGTACTCTAACCCACAGGCTGTGCCTAATGCCACCTGCCTTCTTGTAGGCCAATCTAAGACAGGCTCACCAGGTTTAATCTCTCGCAACCGATCGGCAACACTTAAATTCTGCATAAAGGGATACACAAGAAGGCGTTCTGCTGGAGTTGTGCAAAATCCGATCAGTCTTAATAAATTCCTGTGAACAGCTACACTTATCATTTCAACTTCGCGCCGGAAAGCTGCATCACCCCCAGGTCTCTCGTAATCAGTGAGACGCTTAACAGCAACTTCTGTGTTATCAGATAGCACTCCTTTATAGACTTTTCCAAAACCTCCCTGTCCTAGAACATGTTTCTCACTGAAGTTGTCTGTTGCTAGCTGCAGTTCCCTCCATGAAAATCTTATTAACTGGCCAAATGCAATTCTTTGGTCACCTTAAAAAAAACCCAAATGAGCTAAGTTATGCATGGCAGGGATCATCCAGGCCCTTTTGGCTCCAATCAATTTTCTCACAGATACATAACGTTTTTAACGGCAGGGGCCAGAGGCCAAATCAAGCCTCCCAACCAAAATGTTGTTATTCATGAAGTTTAGCCCTCCAAATTTGTATTTGAGAACAACTTTTTAACATTGACTGGAAAATAAACGATATTTCTTTTATGAAACTACAAGATATTGGCCACCCCCACCACTCTCAACGGTCAACCTTACCTAATGTGCAATGGCATAACATACCACGAACATGTAAATATTTATCCTAAAGAGGAACCCCTTACTTAACTTCAGTCATTGCGATAAACCAATTCAATAATAATCCTAAATTGGTTGAATAACTTTAGCATGATGGGTCAAAAGACTCAACTAAAATCAAGGTTCCATTGATTGGTCAGATGATGGAGTTGTTAATCAGTTCTACAACTAGAAAGCAATGCGTACCTGCAACATCCTCAAAAACTTCATGCTTGAAGCCTTTGTGTCTACGCTTGCAGGTGAAGTACAGTAAACCGCCAAGTAATAATAAAATGATAAGCCCCACAACAAGTCCAACTATGATTCCAAGCTTCGGCTTACTTTTAGCGCCTGTCAAGAGTGGGAAAACCCCATCGTGTAAGCTTATAAAAAGAAAGGGTAACAATTCAATTTCAGATGTTTGTTTGACTCATTAACCTGAACCATAAATATCAGATACACAATGGTGAGGGAGAATCACGCCACAGTTTAGGTGGTTTCCTGTAAAACTGAAACAAGCAACACTGGCCAAATCAAGACTAGATAAACATATTTTGAATATGTGGGTGTGTGGAGAGAGAGAGAGAGAGAGAGAGAGAGAGAGAGAATGGCTTGCAGTCTTGTCAAGAATAGAAACACTAACAGTAACAAGTTGTTCATACTTGTATGTTTTGACGCTAAACAGCTGCTTGGGTATTTGACCCATGAGAGCATTAGAGGCAAGCTGACTGCAAACAAAGTTTCAAGTATGGCATCAAATACTGAAGAACTGAGCCCCAAGTATACAACTTCACACAGATAACGTTCAGAATTCTAAAAGATGGAGTGCCAAATTAATTGTCCAAGAAAAATAACGTACAGATTAATCAAGTTTGAAAGACTTGAAAGTGACTCTGGGATTGTACCACTCAGATTATTGTTATTCAAATTCCTATTTGCATCATCAAGAAAGCACTGTCAGACAAAACTAGATACTGCAGAGTTAGTATATATTAGTGAAAACCTAAAACAAAGCGGATGAAACAACAACAACAACAACAAAGCCTTTTCCCACTAAGTGGGGTCGGCTATATGAATCCTGGAATGCCATTGCGCTCGGTTTTGTGTCATGTCTTCCGTTAGTTCCAAGTACTCTAAGTCTTTTCTTAGGGTCTCTTCCAAAGTTTTCCTAGGTCTTCCTCTACCCCTTCGGCCCTGAAACTCTATCCCGTAGTCACATCTTCGAACCGGAGCATGTAGGCCTTCTTTGCACATGTCCAAACCACCGTAACCGATTTTCTCTCATCTTTCCTTCAATTTCGGCTACTCCTACTTTACCTCGGATATCCTTATTCCTAATCTTATCATTTCCCGTGTGCCCACACATCCAATGAAGCATCCTCATCTCCGCTACACCCATTTTGTGTACGTGTTGATGCTTCACCGCCCAACATTCTATGCCATACAGCATCGCCGGCCTTATTGCCGTCCTATAAAATTTTCCCTTGAGCTTCAGTGGCATACGGCGGTCACACAACACGCCGGATGCACTCTTCCATTTCATCCATCCAGCTTGTATTCTATGGTTGAGATCTCCATCTAATTCTCCGTTCTTTTGCAAGATAGATCCTAGGTAGCGAAAACGGTCGCTCTTTGGTATTTCCTGATCTCCGATCCTCACCCCTAACTCATTTTGGCCTCCATTTGCACTGAACTTGCACTCCATATATTCTGTCTTTGATCAGCTTAGGCGAAGACCTTTAGATTCCAACACTTCTCTCCAAAGGTTAAGCTTCGCATTTACCCCTTCCTGAGTTTCATCCATCAACACTATATCGTCTGCGAAAAGCATACACCAAGGAATATCATCTTGAATATGTCCTGTTAACTCATCCATTATCAACGCAAAAAGGTAAGGACTTCAGGATGAGCCTTTATGTAATCCTACAGTTATGGGAAAGCTTTCGGTTTGTCCTTCATGAATTCTTACGGCAGTCTTTGCTCCTTCATACATATCCTTTATAGCTTGGATATATGCTACTCGTACTTCTTTCTTCTCTAAAATCCTCCAAAGAATGTCTCTTGGGACCCTATCATACGCTTTTTCCAAATCTATAAAGACCATGTGTAAATCCTTTTTCCCATCTCTATATCTTTCCATCAATCTTCGTAAAAGATAGATTGCCTCCATGGTTGAGCGTCCTGGCATGAACCCGAATTGGTTGTCCGAAACCCGTGTCTCTTGCCTCAATCTATACTCAATGACTCTCTCCCAGAGCTTCATTGTATGACTCATTAGCTTAATACCCCTATAGTTCATGCAATTTTGTACGTCGCCCTTATTCTTGTAGATAGGCACCAAAGTGCTCTTTCGCCACTCATTTGGCATCTTCTCTGTTTTCAAAATCCTATTAAAAAGGTCAGTGAGCCATGCTATACCTGTCTCTCCCAAGACATTCCACACTTCGATCGGTATATCGTCTGGGCCCACTGCTTTTCTATGCTTCATCTTCTTCAAAGCTACAGCCACTTCTTCCTTCCTGATTCAACGATAAAAGGAGTAGTTTCTACACTCTTCTGAGTTACTCAACGATAAATAGAACTTTCACACGGATAACGTTCAGAATTTTAAAAGCTGGAGAGCCAAATTAATTCGTCTAGTATAAAGAATGGACAAATCTTGATTTCTCATATCACATGTGCATTGTACAAGAAAAGATAACGTACAGACTAATCAAGTTTGAAAGACTTGAAAGTGACTCTGGGATGGTACCACTCAGATTATTGTTATTCAAAGTCCTGTTTACATCGTCAATAAAGCACTGTCAGATAAAAGTAAGGATAATGCAGAGTCATTACCTATTAGTGAAAACATTAAACAATGTGGACAAAACAACTTACAAGAATTGAAGACTTTTCAGATTGCCAAGTGAGGCTGGTATTTCACCAGTTAAATTATTGTTTTCTAAATTCAAGGTGGACAAACTTGTCAGATTTCCAAACTCTTTTGGTATCTCGCCAGTTATGCCATTTCCTTGTAATGAACTGCAAGATGAATGCACCTTATACGTATTAGAGTCGTTGGCATATGGAATGCATATAAATATATATATGTCTACAAATAGAAGAGGCTAAAAAAATCAGACAAATGGGAACTGCTGCGCAAGCTTTATACAGAACAAAAAAATTAATTGCTACCCTCGAAAATAGTTTTCTAAAGATGTTAACAATGGTCTCTCATGTGAGTAAGAATTCATCTCAAATTCCGTTCATCCTAAGCTAATATAGGACACATGTATTAGCAGTATGTACAATACAGAAGTGAAGTGCTACACCATGCTTTCAGTCATCTAAAGCTTAGCTCCTAATGGATTAGTCTGCACATGTTAACAAACGAAAATGAGCACAACATAAATTGCATGAAATCATGGAATTACATATGGGCTTTTGGAAATTCTCATTGCCTTTCTGTTCTGCCTGTTACATCTTATGGTGATCAATAGAAATCCAAAAAACTATATATATATATATATATATATATGTATGTATGTATGTATGTATGTATACACTTGTTCTTCATAAGTATGTTGGTGTACCACAAATCGGCAAAGCTTCAGTTGTTAGGAAGAGATCCACCACTTCTTTTATATTCTAACAGTTCTCCCCACATGTAGGTCTCTCTCCACTGTCATATTCCAATATGTGGGATTCAACTTATTTGGGAGGTCGCAATTGCAGTACTTCAAACTCATGATTTTCAATACTAAACGATTTGTGAGGTACCTCACTTGCAAGCTTCAATTAAAGAAGTTAAATGTCTCAGGCAAGCGGTCAAACAGAAAATAACAAGTGAAAACACATGAAGCTAACCAAATTAGCTACAAGTTGGATCAAAGTTTTTTTAATCCTCAACTAATCTGTAACGCTTAGGTGAGTTGACTTTGAATCATCGAAAAGTTGACATTGTCATACTCTACAAACAAGTCTAACCATACGATCTTAACAATTACCTTACTTCTAAAGCATGCGTTTGGAGACTAAGCTAAAAACAAATAAATTGACTTCAATAACTAAAGTACATAACCCAGGTAGCTGTCAATGCATCCCAATGATGCATGACGTTATTTATTCTTCAATGCATCCCAATGAGAATCCAGCATTTGTGGTGACAATCCTAGTTTTAGAAATGACTCCAGAAAATGTAGTGTATAGAAATTATGATAAACAGGACCAGTATTCTCCGTGCTTACAGTTTTTGAAGATTTTTCAAGGCTCCTAATTCCGGAGACAAGATGCCAGAAAATCCAATATTTGCCAATGTTCTGCAAAATGAAAAAGACAAAACTAAGCATAGACAAGTAAAATAAACCTTAATCTATGCAAGGAGGAATTTCGTATCGTGAAATGATCCGTTGACAACAATACATCACGATAAACAAAGGATATCTTACACAGAAACGACATTATTGTTAGGGTCACACTGCACATTGAGCCAACCGCATGGATTGAGTTGGTAGGGGTTCCAGTCCTTGAGCTGATTGGGTGAACTATTCAAAGATTTCCGCAATGAAAACAGTGCTTCTCCTGAAACCGAAAATGCCAACATTCATCACCTAATCGGACAAATTCGCCAACAGAAATTCACTACCACATTACATAAATACTAGAAAAGGAATAGATACAACAAAGGAAAGTAAAAGATAGTGAACAAATTCTAACATACAAAAACCTCAAGACAGTCCACTAACACCCTGGGTCTGTGTTCGTTCTATAATATCCTAGAGAGAGCAAGAGAAGAGAGAAAGAAAGAGTTGCAGAGAGGAACCCCAATGTTTGAATGTTTTAATTGCATCGAGGTTACAATATTGGGTATATAGCATTAATCAATACTAGACTTGTTTGCCTTAGTCTTGTTTCTTATGATATGTAACTGAAAAAATGCGAAGATTGTTGTGATTAACATATCCCAGATGCTGTCCGAATGAATTAAATGTTGCAAAACCTCAGAACCGTACCCTGTGAATCAGGCAATACAAAAGACTGTAAGCAAGCCAAGACCAAAACTGCAAAGACTAGATCCATTTTCAACAGCATCATTCTTTGTAGTGATGGATGCAATGAAATGCATGGTGTTGATCAAGGAGCACTTGAAACAATTCCATATCTGCAAAAAGGGAAAACACCCATTCAGTGAGCTATAAATATTCAAATACACAGTAGGAACTGCAACAACAACAATGCCTTATCCCACTAATTGGAGTCCGCAACAACAACAATAAAGTAGGAACTGCAACAATAATAAATTCGAGGCAAGCCTATGTTGAAGATCCTCTACAGTTTGCTAGTAGCCATGCTATCAAAGTATAGTTCAGTCAGGAAAACAAAACTGCGAGAAACGAACAACTTAATGGAAACCAATATGTGCATAAGATTTTTGGGAGCCATAGTCTATATTTGTGTACAAAGCCTCAATTATTTAATGGAGCAGATTATTTCTTAAGGAGCAAATTTTAATACCACAATGAACTTCATACTTGAGAAAAAATCGGAAATTGTCTTCCTTTGGCTGTTTAAATTTTGAAGTGCACAATGTAAGAGATTCAATTTTCGATATGCTTCCCTCTTTGTTGGGGTCTAGTTTTTTTTTACCACATCATGTTGTTGGCTTGGCTGTTCGCTTCTCAACAATCATTCATATATTACAAGCAGTAGCAGAAATATTACTACTTCCTATCACACAAGGTAGAAACTACTTGAAAATCGAAAGAATCATAGAATCAGCTCAACCCAAACCAATACATAAAAAATGGGGGAAATTGCAGTTCAATCTTCATTCCAGGAAAAAGTTTATTCTTTTTTTCAGGTCCCAATGAAATGTTCAAAAGTTCAAACTTTTGTCACTTCCATTTCCCCACGATCCCATCAAATTTCCCAGCAACCAAACAAAAGTGAAAAACAAGCAAAACCCATGTCTGCAAATAATCAAAAAAAGAAGAAATGCAGCTGAAAAGAGAAGAAGAGGACAGAGAGAAGTACCTGTGAGGAGGAATCAGCAAGACATGGCAGAGCTTCTGGAAGAGTGAGTGAAGCTAACTACTCACAAGCTTCTTAGCTGTTTCCATTGTCCGAGTTGGCTGTGAGACTTGAGAAGAGAGAGTTCAGAGGCTCTGGTTATTCTTAGTAGCAGCAAGCAAATCTCCGAAAAGTCAGACACGCTAATAATTTAACGGAATAGAAGAATGAAGAATTAAACCTTGGATAAATAAACTTGAATATTACATTATGCTTTTTTTATTAATGTAATATTCAAGGTTTAAACCTTGGAAAAAAAGCATAATGTAATATTCAAGGTTTAATTCTTCATTATGCTTTTTTTATTAACTGTTAAGTATTCTGCAACATAACAAATAAAGATATATTCTGAAATATTCAAATCTTTGAGATAGTTTAGTGGTGTTTTTTTTTTCTTTTGCTAAATTTTTTTAAGCATGCTTGCTGTTTAATTCTTAGGATGGGTGGGGTTGCAATATCATTCAAGCATGATTGCATAACCGAATTTTTAACCTGGGAACAATAGGGTATAAATGGTCTCTAGTAAAAAAATGATCTTCGTGGCTAAATTGGTAGTGGGCACTGAACTTTTCGGATTTGACATTTAGATAGATTAGTAAATTATGAGCTTTTGTAAAAAAAAATGATCTTCATGGCTAAATCGGTATTTAAACAAAGCAAGTGAATACCACCATCCCTAACCAAGATGCCAACACATAGTCCCCTACGTTAACACGAGTCACCGAGAGATAGTTCAACATGTTAAATGAAAGCAAAGGAGAAAGCCAAAGTAGCAAAACTATCTGTTGGACAAAAAGAAGGAAACAAAAGATCATTCCATCGAAAATAATGAAAACCACATAAGCAAGCATATAAACTCAGATCAATTTTTATAATGTTTTATTTAAGGTAACAGATGCATCAACTAATAGAACTTTAATATAATAAGATTTAAAGAATGTGGGGTGTATGTGAAAATGTAAGGTGTATGTTGAGAATGTGAGGTGTGAGGGTATTATGGAGAAGTATGTGGGGTGTGTGAAGATAATTTTGAGTTGAAAAAGTAAATATGGGGTGTATTAAGTATGTGAGGTTTATTCAACAATATGTGGGGTGTTAATATAATAAGCCAAAATAAAATTTTCTATGCATTTAAAAAATAATAATTTAATCAGAATATTAAATACTAAAATAATTAATTAAAAAAATTTTAAAAACAAAACCCAATAAAACCCATGTCTTCCTCTTCCTCATCCCCATCCACATTCATCACCTCTTCTCCCACCACCACCCCCTTCTCCCATCACTTCCGCACAAAGCTTCTCTCTCCAGCACCACGACCATCCCCCATCACCACCACCTTCCCCAGACTTCTGCACCAAGATTCTCCCTCTAGCACCACCATCATCCCCATCAACACCCCCCTTCCCCCATCATTTCCACACCAAGCTTCTCCCTATAACACCACCACCACTATCAATTTCCTCATCCGCAAAGCCCCGAGCAACCGAGAGACCCCTAATTTTTCCCCAACCTTCATCACCACCTCAAAACCTTGCCTCGATTTCTTCTTCTAAGTGGTGCCCTTCACCCTAGCTTTCTATGTCAGATCTGAACCTGGCGAGGGCCAACGTGATTGTCAACTCCGACAAGCAACGGCAGAGGACGAATACCTCTTCACGCCACCACCTGCACCAAATGAAGGCTACAACCATTACTAGAACTAGCCATTTCTTATTCTTAAAGGCCCGACCGGAAACTCCATTACAGACACCCAAAACCCAACCCCAATTTCTCAGTCGATTTGAATCTAAATTGAAGGAAGAATTCTTGTTTTCCAGAGAGATTCAAAGATTGAAAGAAGATGGAAGAGAGCAGGTCTAAAGCCATAAATGCAATTTTCATTTTTTTTTCTTTTCATTCTTTCAGTGGTGGGCATAGGCTGATTCGAAAATTGGATTAGGGGATTAAGGGTTTGAAGGGGGAGAGGGAGAATGCGGCTAGGGATGGGGAAGGGGAAGACATGGGTTTTAGGGTTTAAAAAAAATAAAAAATAAAACTTTTCTTTAATTAATTATTTTAGTATTTAATATTCTGATTAAATTATTATTTTTTAAACGCATAGAAACTTTGTTTTTACCACATGACACAAATTTGGTAGTCATGTCAGCACAAATGTGAATCACATATTTACCACGTCATCACTTAAAGGTTTACTTAACGAATTTTCTAACAATGTATGAAATTGAAATGTTTTAAAGATGTTGTATGAGGTTGCAATCGACCCCAAACCTAAAGGGGTAAAATGTAATTTACCCATTAATTAACTACTTTCTCTCACTGGTTGGTGGTTGCAGTGTTGTTGCTGCTGCTTGTGTAACGATTCCGTTCAAGTCTTCTGGTTAAGCAAGAGTCATAAAACCGTATCAATTACTTATTCACCTAATTATTGAGAGACAATTGGCTGTTTGTAACAAAAAAACTACTCTTATTACCTATTTATATCCCATTTGTACCGCCACCATAATGATGATGAGACCTACATGTGTTGGCGGGTCCTACATCTATTAGAGGGATGGTACAAATGATGGTTCAAATAGGTGGTAAGTGTAGCGTTACTCGTTTGTAACTGTTGAATTTGTTGAATAGAGACCAGCAGACATGATACATTGGGAAATTAGATCTACTCCGGACCTTAGTGTTCGAAGCCTAAGGATCAGCTGATCTAGATCGTACAAATTGAATCTGACGATCTCCATTAACTTATGTTGCTACCCTACCACACATAAACCAGCAACTCTAATTTATTTTACACACCAATTAGGGGTCCAAATGTGTTTATCCTTAAGCTCTGGACACTAAGGTTCAGAGCGGATCCAATTCTAGAAGTTAGGAGCATTTTTGCTCACTACCGTAAACTATGGTGTATGCTTACTATGCACCTAATTATCTGTCACGTGTCCTTTCACTTAACCTTAGTTATTTTTTTTTCAAAATTGAAAAAAAAAAAAAATTCCATGGTTCTGTTCAAGTCTTCTGGCCTTTCCCTTCGCGGCCCAACGCTCCTCGGCCCACGCCGAGCTGGCTCTTGGCCCTGGCCATCCATCATGTCACGTTGCCCAATCCTCGGCTTGTTGCCAAGCCATGTCATCACCATCAGGCAACTCTGTAGTAGCCTGATTATTTTTGAATATGTGATTTAATTATGAAATTCAAATGGGGGAAAATGTGAAATCCCGTTTCTGAATTTTGTTATTAAACATTCTGTAGTCGTAATCGGAGTTGCGACATATTTATATTTATGTCGTATAATTTTTCGACAAGTGAAAAAATGAAAATGCCCCTAGTTGGCTAAACATAATTATACGAGGACGTAGTATTTCTTGGCATATCTGGATAAGGTCGATCCTACAAGCACGTAGCCAGAAATCGTTCATGAAACTGAGTTACAACGAAGAAGATATAAACGAACAAAGTCAAGGGCATTTCGATCATTTGACCCTTCGATTCTAGAAGGCTCCAACTTTATTGAAATGCATGTAAGTGTGATGTTGCCACCTGTGTGGTTGTGTTTGGGAAAAGAAAAGAAAATGAGAGAAATTAGGGGAAAAGGGACCAATCGAGGAAAGGAGAAAGTAGGGAAATGAGGGAGGAGGGAACCCCGGGCAATACAGATCCTCCTTGACTCGCATGACTCGACCCAGTTCCTTTAAAATTTTCTGACGGTTTCTCTTCAGTTTTTTTGACGAATTCGTCGAAAACCCACATAAAAATGAATCACCGTCGTCCCAACTTCAAATTCCAGAAGAATTTGAGTCATTTTGGCTATTGTTTTGTGAGAATCAAAGTTATGGCGTCGTGGGTGTCACGGCGGCAATCCGCCGTTCCTGCAACTACCATCGTCGACCACCACCACCAAATTACTTCCCTTGAACCCAAGAACCATGCCTAATCATTGGTTGGAGTGTTAGGACTTGATTTAGCAGCAATTTGAAGAACACCCATTTTAGGGTTTCTGGCGGATCGAGGTGAATTCAGGCGTTTTCCGGACCGAATTGGACTTCGGCCCATGTATGAAAATTCTTCCTTGTGATGTGTTCTACAATCGTGTAAAATTTAGTAATTTTTAGTGTTGGTTGGAAAATTTGGTTTCCATTAGCCTGAAACTGCCGCCTACGGCGGCGTGTGGCCAGTGGGCCGACTTTGCCTTTTTACATTAAATTTGATATTCTAAATTCATATTTGCTATTTGTTTTATGTGATTCGATCGTTTGAACCTAGTATTGTTAACATTCGATACTTGAAAACTATAATAAACGGTCTAAATAAAGTGGTGAACTACAAATGGCTTGATCACGTTTAAGGATATGTAGGCAGTCTAACAAGAAGGTTAGATGCAGCCATAAAGTAAACCAAATAAATTTTAATGTAGGTTGTATTTTATCTAACAAGTAATGATAAATGGTAGGAAAAAATTTAATTTGTAATACGCAGGTGGCGGATGTAGCCAAGTGAATTAAGGCAGTGGATTGTGAATCCACAATGACTTTATTTTTGACCTATCATTGAGTATCACTTCTGGATAAGTTTGGGTCATTACAAGCTCACGGTGCCACAATCAGCCATCTACGACAGCTGCCTCATAGCAACTCCCAAAAAAAAAAAAACAACAAGCAAGAAGATCTTCTTACCTTGGTGCGGTGATGAACAACTCTTTGCAAGGGTAAGCAAAGAAGATGGCTAGGGGAAGGGGAATAAATTTCCTCTGGCTTTCTTTCTTTCTTGTAAGGATACAAATTGCTCTCCATATTTATTTAACTCCCTACTTAAGACAGACTTAAATAGGTTTTGGTGGCAATTGGTTTCCCTTTCCTATAAGACTTTATTTCTAAATCAAATTGAAGGATCTACATCAAATTGGGAAACAAATCTCTACTTATCTAAGCAGCTTGGGATTTCTACACTTATTGCCCTTTCATGGAGCAGCCCAGCAGGATTTGGGGCATTTGTGGAGCCAAAAAGTAATCTCAAAAATCCAAAAAGCGACACATGGACTTTAGCTTAAGAAAGATATGACTGCCCTCATTAAATAGGCAAGGCTCTCAAGTTCCCCACGCGCAACTCAACATCCATGGAAGTTGAAGCAGTGGGTGCTCAAGT